CGTCGATCGTCCACCAAGCGCTGAATCACCGTGGCTTCATTCCCGGTTCGCCAGTGACATCGACTGGAATCATCATCAGAAGACGACGATGACGTCACCAGGGAACCCTATAAAGCCCGACACAAGACCAGCAGTCTCCAGTGGGGGCGGCAGCTTTCCAAGAGTTATGTCACTCAAAGCTGCATGGATCGTCTTACAGATACTGCCGCTGCTGATCAACTGCGAAACATCTGGAACCGTCTACGTCGATCGTCCACCAAGCGCTGAATCACCGTGGCTTCATTCCCGATTCGCCAGTGACATCGACTGCAATCATCATCAGAAGACTACGATGACGTCACCAGGGAACCCTATAAAGCCCGACACAAGACCAGCAGTCTCCAGTCGGGGCGGCAGCTTTACCAGAGTCATGTCACTCAAAAGTGCATGGATCGTCTTACAGATACTGCCGCTGCTGATCAACTGCGAAACATCTGGAACCGTCTACGTCGATCGTCCACCAAGCGCTGAATCACCGTGGCTTCATTCCCGATTCGCCAGTGACATCGACTGGAATCATCATCAGAAGACGATGATGACGTCACCAGGGAACCCTATAAAGCCCGACACAAGACCAGCAGTCTCGAGTGGGGGCGGCAGCTTTCCCAGAGTCATGTCACTCAAAACTGCATGGATTGTCTTACAGATACTGCCGCTGCTGATCAACTGCGAAACATCTGGAACCGTCTACGTCGATCTTCCACCAAGCGCTGAATCACCGTGGCTTCATTCCCGATTCGCCAGTGACATCGACTGGAATCATCATCAGAAGACGATGATGACGTCACCAGGGAACCCTATAAAGCCCGACACAAGACCAGCAGTCTCCAGTGCGGGCGGCAGCTTTCCCAGAGTCATGTCACTCAAAACTGCATGGATTGTCTTACAGATACTGCCGCTGCTGATCAACTGCGAAACATCTGGAACCGTCTACGTCGATCGTCCACCAAGCGCTGAATCACCGTGGCTTTATTCCCGATTCGCCAGTGACATCGACTGGAATCATCATCAGAAGACGATGATGACGTCACCAGGGAACCCTATAAAGCCCGACACAAGACCAGCAGTCTCGAGTGGGGGCGGCAGCTTTCCCAGAGTCATATCACTCGAAACTGCATGGATCGTCTTACAGATACTGCCGCTGCTGATCAACTGCGAAACATCTGGAACCGTCTACGTCGATCTTCCACCAAGCGCTGAATCACCGTGGCTTCATTCCCGATTCGCCAGTGACATCGACTGGAATCATCATCAGAAGACGATGATGACGTCACCAGGGAACCCTATAAAGCCCGACACAAGACCAGCAGTCTCCAGTGGGGGCGGCAGCTTTCCCAGAGTCATATCACTCGAAACTGCATGGATCGTCTTACAGATACTGCCGCTGCTGATCAACTGCGAAACATCTGGAACCGTCTACGTCGATCGTCCACCAAGCGCTGAATCACCGTGGCTTCATTCCCGATTCGCCAGTGACATCGACTGGAATCATCATCAGAAGACGATGATGACGTCACCAGGGAACCCTATAAAGCCCGACACAAGACCAGCAGTCTCGAGTGGGGGCGGCAGCTTTCCCAGAGTCATGTCACTCAAAAATGCATGGATTGTCTTACAGATACTGCCGCTGCTGATCAACTGCGAAACATCTGGAACCGTCTACGTCGATCTTCCACCAAGCGCTGAATCACCGTGGCTTCATTCCCGATTCGCCAGTGACATCGACTGGAATCATCATCAGAAGACGATGATGACGTCACCAGGGAACCCTATAAAGCCCGACACAAGACCAGCAGTCTCCAGTGGGGGCGGCAGCTTTCCCAGAGTCATGTCACTCAAAACTGCATGGATTGTCTTACAGATACTGCCGCTGCTGATCAACTGCGAAACATCTGGAACCGTCTACGTCGATCGTCCACCAAGCGCTGAATCACCGTGGCTTCATTCCCGATTCGCCAGTGACATCGACTGGAATCATCATCAGAAGACGATGATGACGTCACCAGGGAACCCTATAAAGCCCGACACAAGACCAGCAGTCTCGAGTGGGGGCGGCAGCTTTCCCAGAGTCATATCACTCGAAACTGCATGGATCGTCTTACAGATACTGCCGCTGCTGATCAACTGCGAAACATCTGGAACCGTCTACGTCGATCGTCCACCAAGCGCTGAATCACCGTGGCTTCATTCCCGATTCGCCAGTGACATCGACTGGAATCATCATCAAAAGACGACGATGACGTCACCAGGGAACCCTATAAAGCCCGACACAAGACCAGCAGTCTTCAGTGGGGGCGGCAGCTTTCCCAGAGTCATATCACTCGAAACTGCATGGATCGTCTTACAGGTACTGCCGCTGCTGATCAACTGCGAAACATCTGGAACCGTCTACGTCGATCGTCCACCAAGCGCTGAATCACCGTGGCTTCATTCCCGATTCGCCAGTGACATCGACTGGAATCATCATCAGAAGACGACGATGACGTCACCAGGGAACCCTATGAAGCCCGACACAAGACCAGCAGTCTCCAGTGGGGGCGGCAGCTTTCCCAGAGTCATATCACTCGAAACTGCATGGATCGTCTTACAGATACTGCCGCTGCTGATCAACTGCGAAACATCTGGAACCGTCTACGTCGATCGTCCACCAAGCGCTGAATCACCGTGGCTTCATTCCCGATTCGCCAGTGACATCGACTGGAATCATCATCAGAAGACGACGATGACGTCACCAGGGAACCCTATAAAGCCCGACACAAGACCAGCAGTCTCCAGTGGGGGCGGCAGCTTTCCCAGAGTCATATCACTCGAAACTGCATGGATCGTCTTACAGATACTGCCGCTGCTGATCAACTCCGAAACATCTGGAACCGTCTACGTTGATCGTCCACCAAGCGCTGAATCACCGTGGCTTCATTCCCGATTCGCCAGTGACATCGACTGGAATCATCATCAGAAGACGACGATGACGTCACCAGGGAACCCTATAAAGCCCGACACAAGACCAGCAGTCTCCAGTGGGGGCGCCAGCTTTCCCAGAGTCATATCACTCGAAACTGCATGGATCGTCTTACAGATACTGCCGCTGCTGATCAACTGCGAAACATCTGGAACCGTCTACGTCGATCGTCCACCAAGCGCTGAATCACCGTGGCTTCATTCCCGATTCGCCAGTGACATCGACTGGAATCATGATCAGAAGACGACGATGACGTCACCAGGGAACCCTATAAAGCCCGACACAAGACCAGCAGTCTCCAGTGGGGGCGGCAGCTTTCCCAGAGTCACGTCACTCAAAACTGCATGGATCGTCTTACAGATACTGCCGCTGCTGATCAACTGCGAAACATCTGGAACCGTCTACGTCGATCGTCCACCAAGCGCTGAATCACCGTGGCTTCATTCCCGATTCGCCAGTGACATCGACTGGAATCATCATCAGAAGACGATGATGACGTCACCAGGGAACCCTATAAAGCCCGACACAAGACCAGCAGTCTCCAGTGGGGGCGGCAGCTTTCCTAGAGTCATATCACTCGAAACTGCATGGATCGTCTTACAGATACTGCCGCTGCTGATCAACTGCGAAACATCTGGAACCGTCTACGTCGATCGTCCACCAAGCGCTGAATCACCGTGGCTTCATTCCCGATTCGCCAGTGACATCGACTGGAATCATCATCAGAAGACGATGATGACGTCACCAGGAAACCCTATAAAGCCCGACACAAGACCAGCAGTCTCCAGTGGGGGCGGCAGCTTTCCCAGAGTCATATCACTCAAAACTGCATGGATCGTCTTACAGATACTGCCGCTGCGGATGAACTGCGAAACATCTGGAACCGTCTACGTCGATCGTCCACCAAGCGCTGAATCACCGTGGCTTCATTCCCGATTCGCCAGTGACATCGACTGGAATCATCATCAGAAGACGATGATGACGTCACCAGGGAACCCTATAAAGCCCGACACAAGACCAGCAGTCTCCAGTGGGGGCGGCAGCTTTCCCAGAGTCATATCACTCAAAACTGCATGGATCGTCTTACAGATACTGCCGCTGCGGATGAACTGCGAAACATCTGGAACCGTCTACGTCGATCGTCCACCAAGCGCTGAATCACCGTGGCTTCATTCCCGATTCGCCAGTGACATCGACTGGAATCATCATCAGAAGACGATGATGACGTCACCAGGGAACCCTATAAAGCCCGACACAAGACCAGCAGTCTCCAGTGGGGGCGGCAGCTTTCCCAGAGTCATATCACTCGAAACTGCATGGATCGTCTTACAGATACTGCCGCTGCTGATCAACTGCGAAACATCTGGAACCATCCACGTCGATCGTCCACCAAGCGCTGAATCACCGTGGCTTCATTCCCGATTCGCCAGTGACATCGACTGGAATCATCAGAAGACGACGATGACGTCACCAGGGAACCCTATAAAGCCCGACACAAGACCAGCAGTCTCCAGTGGGGGCGGCAGCTTTCCCAGAGTCATGTCACTCAAAACTGCATGGATCGTCTTACAGGCTTGTTACTATAAGTTCGACTTCGAATTTTTGATCTGATGATGCATGCGTTCTTGTGCTGCCGCACCCCACATTTCTTTGTGCGATGATGAACTGCTGGTGGACTGGAATTGTCCTGTTGTTATCCGGAGATGTAGAGGAAAACCCAGGTCCTGCCATCGATACTAAGGAGCTGCTGCGAGAAATATTAGACAAACTAAAGGAAATAGCTAAAGATATAGCAGAAATTAAAGCAAACGAAAGAACCGTGGATAATAGGCTCCGGGCAATGGAAAATAGGCTTGGTCAACTAGATGAAATCTCAAAAATGATTACAGAAAACAAAAATAAGCTAGCTAACGTTGAGGTCACAGTTACTTTGCTAGAAAAGATCATTGAATTGCAGCAACAAAGGCTAAGTAACATTGAGGATAGGGAGAGGTGAAATAATATGATTGTGTTCGGCATTCCAGAAGCGAACAATGATACAGCTGCAGATTTGGAACAGAAAGTGATAAGAGATATATTCTTCGGACAACTTGGTGTAACTGTAACGTCTGTGGAAAAAATCCATCGTTTGGGCCCGAAACGACACGATAAAAACACACCCGTCATCCTCATGGCGTATAATTATAACGAAAAGCAGCTGGTGTTCAAGAACAGCAGGAAACTGAAAAATACCCTCGTGAGCGTGTCCGATGACTATTCAAAGGGGACAGTGGAAAAGCGACGGCAAATTTGGAACTCGGCACGACAAGAGAAACAGAACGGAGATAAAGTGCGACTTGTGTATGACAAGCTTTTCGTAAATGACGTAGCCTACGTCTGGGATTCTGTAACGAACACGCGAATTCAACAGAATGCGCACATCATGCCAATGGCCTCTCAACAAAATTGACATAAAAAGAAAAAAGATGTACGAATAATCACAATAAACGCACAAAGCATATTAAGCAAGGCACCGGAATCGGAATATATTATTATTCAGCATGACCCAAATGTTATTGTCGTAACCGAGACTTGGCTACAAAGTAACATTGCCGACTCCGAGGTGTTTCCAAGGGACTATAGCGTGCTACGGAAGGACAGAGCAACTAGAGGAGGAGGCGTTGCCATTCTTATAAAGGAATCTCTAAAGTATGAGGCGTTGCCTGGAACTAACGACCATGAGAGCGTATGGTGTAAACTACTCTTTGACGAGATGGTCTTCTTAATTGGTGGGGTGTATAGGGCCCCGGGCACTGGAATTAATTTCCTAGAGAAAATAGACGAATATTTAACAACTCTTGTGAAAAACAGAACTAAAATTATCCTAACGGCCGACTTTAACCTGCCACATATTTGTTGGCACGAACTAAGCCCAGGCAGAGCGGATAGAATACATGGAGAATATTTGTTTGATATAATGCCTAAATGTGGACTGACGCAGGTAGTTAAAGAACCAACCAGAATTCAGGGATCATGCCAATCTGTATTAGATATCTGCCTGGTATCTGATTACTTTTCGAATTACAAAGTGTGTGTAGAGCACGGAATTTCAGATCATAAAATGGTTATCTTGACTCTAGAGTTAGGCAGTCTACGCTTTCAGAAAACGGACCCTAAAATTGTTTATGATTTTTCACGAGCAGACGACACATCAATATTAGATTATCACGAACTATCTCTAGACCACATAGATAAAATTAACGACGTAGATTATTTGTGGGGCTATTTCTCAAAAGCAGTCGCCTACTGTCTTGCAAGATTTGTTCCGAAAAAAACAATAAAAAGAAACAAGTCTAATCCATGGATAACACGGGACATAATTCACCTTAAACGTAAACTAAAACGAAAAAGAAAGCAGAAAAATAAGAACGCTTTAGAGATTGCTAATCTAAGCCGTGAAGTACGATGAAAGGTCAAGGCTGCTAGAACAGAGTTCCTTTCGACTAACTTAAGCGACTACTTAAGGGACTCGCCACGCAGATTCTGGCAGTATCTGTCATGTAAGGAACATAAGGTTAACGAAATCATGAAGGATGGAAAAGTATACCGCAATCCAGCATTTGTGGCGACTGAATTTAATAAGTTTTTTCATTCTGTTTTTACCGAAGATAATGATCGTGAAAGTGTCATAACTAATGTTACTGGTCTGCCTGAAACAGAGATTGTTGTCTCATTTGAGTATGTTCTTTCTATGCTACTGAATATCGATGTAAAAAAGGCACCGGGTCCAGATAACATTACAAATGAATTTTTGAGGTGTTACTGTCTAAGAGCTGCTGAGTTTCTAGTACTCATTTTTCAAGCGTCATTGAGTCAGGGGAGGCTACCTAAGGACTGGTTACTTGCGCGAGTAGTCCCTATTCATAAATCCGGGAGTCAGCTTGATGTTGGAAATTATCGGCCGATATCCCTTACTTCTACTGCCTGCAAACTCCTCGAACATATCGTTTGTAAACATCTCACAGACTTCATCGAACAGAATGGTCTGTTTTACGAAAAACAACATGGTTTTACAAGGAAGTTATCAACTGTCACCCACTTATTTGAAGCGACTCATTATTTCGCATCTGTTTTAAATGAGCGTGGTCAAGTAGATGTGATATTAATTGATTTGTCAAAAGCATTTAACCGAGTCACGCACTCGAAGCTGCTAAAAAAATTGTTGGATTTAGGGGTAAGTACGCCTATTGTTTCTTGGAGCAAATCTTACTTGTCAAACAGATTTCACTTTGTTGAGATCGCTGGGGAAACTTCCACGCTGCTGCCAGTCACTTCCGGTGTGCCTCAGGCCTCGGTTTTGGGACCAATTTTGTTTCTTGCGTATATAAATTACATTTCAACTGAAATTCATCCATCTGTTGAAGTCTGTCTCTTTGCAGACGATTGTCTAATGTACATCAAAGTTAATTCACAACTTGACCAAATGGTATTAAATGACTCGTTAATGACTATGCACGAGTGTGTCAAAGATGGGATATGAAGATAAATTTTGAAAAGACAACTTTTGTAACAATCACAAAAAGGAGGTCGCCTAATATATTTCTGTATTTCTATAATGGTGCACTTTTGAAACAATCCGAAACTTTTAAATACTTAGGGGTCACAATTTCTAACGATCTAAACTGGAGGGAACATATAGGAAATGTCTGTAGTGGGGCTTTGCGAAAACTTGGGTTTTTAAGACGGGCGCTCAAAAATACAACGCCTGAAGTTAAATTATTTGCGTATAAGACTCTAGTTCGATCATCTCTTGAATACGCGCACGTGATCTGGGATCCATATGTCAAATATCAAGTAGAACAACTTGAGCGCATCCAGCGGCTGGCAGTAAGATTTGTTTATTCAGAGTATCGCCGCACGGACTCTGTAACAGAACTATTAAAAAAAGCGGGGCTGCCAACTTTGGGTCAGCGGAGAAAAATTGGAAGGTTAAAATTTTTCTATCAACTCCACAATGGGCATTATAACATCAGTTCGAGTGACTATATACAGCCTCCTGGTAGAAGGTCCCCGAGAGTTAATAATCAGTTTGGAGTCAAGCCGTATTTACCAAATCTCAATGTTTTTAAGTACTCTTTTCTTGTAAGAACAATTGAGGAGTGGAATAGTTTGGATGACGACCTCTTTGTTGGGATTGGCAGTGCCGATAAGTTTGAAGCTGTATTATTTGATTTATATGCAGAGTCATACTAGTATTCCTTGGTGGTGGTGACTTTCGGTGGTGTGGTTCAACCGAAATTGTACACAAATGATTGTATTGCGGTGATTGTTCTTGATCTTTGGTTCTGTATTTCTGTTGTTTTATTGCTGTACACTCCTGAAACAGCCCGAAAGGGCTTTCAGTATTGTAAATAAATAAAATAAATAAATAAAGAGCAACCGACGCCCCCTGTCGGAGGCTTCGCTCAAGAAATGCTTGATACGATGCTCGAGGACACAAAGGGCTTCATTGTGAGGGGGAGTGGACAAGGTCCTTTGAAAAATTCTTCATTTATATTGATCCTTTGGATGAAGGTAGTGTACAAAGAAAGTGTTTCCGCGGCATTTTGCGTGGCTTGTAGAGGAAATGTTAGTAGTCTTATTTTCTTTGGTTATAGCATAATATTTTATTCAAAAATCTGTCCTTTTATGCTATAATGTCAACGTTTTGGATTTCTTGCTTCTTCCTAAAAACGGTCCGAATGCCAAAGGAACACCAAATTTCGAGCCCAGAACGAACAGTTAGGACAGGCTAATGCGGAGGAGACAAAGCCAGCTAGGTTTGCGTCTACCCTCAAATTACTATGTTGGAAGAATATCGAGCTTGCAATGATGGGGCCTTTGGGGGAAAGATTCCTGTTGGAACGCTTATAAAGTTTCGTTTTTTTTTTCAATTTACTACTGTTTGGTACAAATTGTTCACTGAAGTTCGCGGTACATTTTTGGTAACGATTTGGTTTACTTATAAGTAGATATGTATTTTTGTTTTGCAGGGCTATTGCAGGAATGGTTGTTATACTAAAAAAATTAATACGATTTTGCGTAGGCCATATAACAAACATTAATATACTCAAACGGCATAGAAATTAAGAAGTAATGCCATATTGTCAAGCCCTATGATTTTTATACTTTCTTTAGGAAATGCTAATTAACCGTAAGCAATATTCCTCCGTTAACAACGTAAAATCTCCCACCTCTACCGTAACGTCAGGTGTCCCCCAGGGAACCGTACTGGGCCCCCTTCTGTTCCTAATCTATATTAATGATCTCCACCTTAATATCGCTTCTTCTGTGCGGTTGTTCGCCGACGATTGTGTCATTTACCGACCCATTCTTTCATACCATGATCATCATGCTCTCCAGGAAGACCTAGAGTCTGTAATCCATTGGTGTGAAAGATGGCAGATGACATTAAACTTCAATAAATGTAGATCCCTATCAATTTCCCGCAGTTCGCGTGCCACACCATTTTCGTATTACCTCTCTAACACTCAAGTAATAGCATGCTCATCTTATAAGTACCTGGGTGTTCATCTCTCCTCTAACCTATCATGGACTACTCACATAACTTCTGTTATTTCTGATACTAACCGTTCTCTCGGATACTTGCGCCGTAACCTTAAACTTGCTACACCCTCCGTAAAACGACTAGCGTATACTACTCTTATAAGATCGAAATGAGAATACGCCTCATGTATATGGTCCCCATGGCAGTCCTACCTTGCAAATAATCTAGAATCCGTCCAAAACAGAGCCCTTCGTTTTATGTATAACAACTACTCACCATATACCAGCATATCAGGATTACGCCAATCAGCTAACCTTCATTCACTTTCCCTTCGCCGCCGAGTATCACGCCTTTCTCTCCTCCATCGAATTTTCTATCACAATAGCCACCTCAAAGAATCACTGCTATCACCTCCCCATCGTATTTTCCCGCGTCTAGATCACCTATGTAAATTACGTCCAATTCGATCATCAACTGTTTCTCACCAGACTTCCACACTACCATTGGCCATCGAGGATTGGAATTCACTACCTCATAACATCCTTTGTATAATGATACTACTAAATTTGTTGAAGCCATTACCCTCTTTTTATCTAACCTACCTAGCTAGCTTACAGTGTTATAGTTGTGTTTACTGTTCTATTTGTTTTTGTTCTATTGCCGCCCCCTTGTATAATGCCCCACGGGCCCTCAAGGAAAATAAATGATGATGATGATGATTTCTTAAAACGACGGCTTCAATAGGAACTTTGTACCATTTCCCAATATCGTGGCGTTCCGTCACACTTTCGTCGTGAATCCCCACCCTTAGATATATTTCGTGTTGAAACTTGGGGGCGAAAGATATGTCAGAATGGACACAAACATGACACTTTAGGAGCTCAGTTTATCTTTGCACAACTCAATGGAGCCAACAAGATTAG